ATAATCAAATGCTCTATAGTTATGCCAATTTTTTTTAAGTCTTTTTTTTTATTTTTTTTTATAGATCTGAAAAATATATGTATTATGTGCCTCACCCTGCACACAACTGTTGTGACTAACCAATACTTGGGAGTCATGTCCATAGTATCTATTATTTAATGATTATTAGTTAAAAAGTTCCAAAGATTATGTATGTTTGAGTCTTACTTAAATGTATATTTTTTTCCAGAGCGTATTAGTTTTAGTATAAGTAAAATAGTTATTAGTTGAAAGTTCAGAGCTTCAAGAAGTTGAACTTATTTATATTTTTTTTATCGCACATTAGCTTGTAGAAGTTTAATAATATCATAATCAAACACTCTATAGTCATGCCAATTTTTTTTAAGTCTTTTTTTTTATTTTTTTTTATATGATTTAAAAAATATATGTGTTATGTGCCCCACCCTGCACACAACTGTCATGACCAACCAATACTTGGGAGTCACGTCCATAATATCTATTATTTAATGATTATTAGTTGAAAAGTTCCAAAGAATATGTACATTTGAGTCTTACTTATATGTATATATATTTTTTTCATAAGTAAAATAATTATTAGTTGAAAGTTCAGAGCTTCAAGAAGTTGAATCTTATTTATATTTTTTTTATTGCGCATTAGTTTGTAGGAGTTTAATGTCATGATTGAACTGTTTTATAGTTATACCCATTTTTTTGTAAGTCTTTTTTTTTTTTATTTTTTTTTTACGATTCGAAATATATGTGTTATGTGTCCCACTTTGCAAACAACTGTTGCAACCAACCAATACTTGGGAGTCACGTCCATAGTATTTATTATTTTTTGATAGTTAGTTAAAAAGTTCAAAGATTATATATATTTGAGTCTTACTTATATGTATATATTTTTTTCATATTGTATTATTTTAGTGTAAGTAAAACAATTATTAGTTAAAAGTTAAAGCTTCAAGAAGTTGAATCTTATTTATATTTTTTTTATCACGTATTAGTTTGTAGAAGTTTAATGATATCATAATCGAAATAAATATATATTAGAGTTTTTTTTATTAATTTATGAGTATCTGTTTTAGAATAAATAAGTGATTACAATTAAAGTATTTTTCAATAAATAATATATATATTTAAATTACTTAGAAATAGTTATGACCAATCATAACTAATCATAACCATAACTAATACCAGTCAGTTAGAGACCCTTGACTGACCGATTAAAAATCTGATCAATAATATAAATTAATGTAATAAATATTTTTATTTATACTAACCTTGCTTTAATATTAAAAATAGTATAATTTATTAGCAAATTTGTGTATATATTATTAAAATTTTATTAATTTTATTTCAATTTTATTTATTTTATTATATTTTATTTATTATAAATCAATAAATTTATTAAATTTATTAAATTATATTTATATTAAATTATTTAAATTTTATTTTTATAATGTAATTAAAATAAAATTTTAACTTAATATTATAACTATTTAATTTTTGCAGAGTTTATAAAATCTGATCTTAATATTTTATTAAACAAACTAGCTTTTGAATCGTATAAAAAAAAAATAAAAAAAAGACTTACAAAAAAATAGACATGACTATAGAATATTTCAATCATAATATCATAAACTTTTACAAACTAATATGCGATAAAAAAAATATAAATAAAATTCAACCTCTTGAAGCTTTAACTTTTAACTAATTATTGTTTTACTTATACTAAACTAATACAATATGAAAAAAAAATAGGTGTATAAGTAAGACTCAAATATATATAATCTTTGAACTTTTTAATGAATAATTAAAAATAATAGATAATATGGATATGACTCCCAAGTATTGGTTGGTTGTGACAGTTGTGTGCGAGGGTGGGGCACATAATATATATATTTTGAATCATAAAAAAAAATAAAAAAAAGACTTACAAAAAAATGGGCATGACTATAGAACAGTTTGATCATGATATTAAACTTTTACAAACTAATGCGCGATAAAAAAATATAAGATTCAACTTCTTGAAGCTCTAACTTTCAACTAATAATCATTTTACTTATACCAAACTAATACAATATGAAAAAAAATAGACATATAAATAAGACTCAAATGTACATAATCTTTGAACTTTTCAACTAATAATTAAAAATAATAGATACTATGGATGTGACTTCTAAGTATTGGTTAGTCGTGACAGTTGTATGTGGGGGTGGGGCATATAACACATATATTTCGAATTATAAAAAAAAAATAAAAAAAAAGACTTACAAAAAAATAGGCATAACTATAGAATAGTTCGATCATGGCATTAAACTTCTAAAAACTAATGTGCGATAAAAAAAATATAAATAAGATTCAAACTTCTTGAAGCTCTAAACTTTCAACTAATAATTGTTTTACTTACTCTAAACTAATACAATATAAAAAAAAATAGACATATAAGTAAGACTCAAACATATATAATCTTTGAACTTTTTAACTAATAATCAAAAAAAATAGATACTATAGACATAACTCCCAAGTATTGGTTGGCATAACAGTTGTGTGCAGAGGTGGGGCATATAATACATATATTTTGAATTGTATAAAAAAATAAAAAAAAACTTACAAAAAAATAGGCATGACTATAGAACAGTTCGATCATAATATTAAACTCCTACAAACTAATGCATAATAAAAAAATATAAGATTCAACTTATTGAAGCTCTAACTTTCAACTAATAATCATTTTATTTATACTAAACTAATACAATATGAAAAAAAAAGTAAACATATAAGTAAGACTCAAATGTATATAATCTTTAAACTTTTCAACTAATAATCAAAAATAATAGATACTATAGACATAACTCCCAAGTATTGGTTAGTCGTGACAGTTGTGTGCGGGGTGGGGCACATAACACATATACTGTATTTTTCAAATCGTATAAAAAAAAATAAAAAAAAGACTTAAAAAAAATTGGCATAACTATAGAGCATTCGATTATGATATCATTAAACTTCTACAAGCTAATGTGCTATAAAAAAAATATAAATAAAATTCAACTTCTTGAAGCTCTGAACTTTTAATTAATAACCATTTTACTTACACTAAAACTAATATACTCTGGAAAAAAAATATACATATAAGTAAGACTCAAACATACACAATCTTTAGAACTTTTCAACTAATAACTATTAAATAATAGATACTATGGATGTGACTCCAAGTATTGGCTAGTTGCAACAGTAGTGTGTGGGGGTGGGCACATAATATATATATTTTTCAAATCTATAAAAAAAAAATAAAAAAAGACTTACAAAAAAAAATGAGCATGACTATAGAGCGTTCGATTATGATATTATTAAACTTCTATAAAATAATGCGCAATAAAAAAATATATATAAGATTCAAACTTCTTGGAGCTCTAGACTTTCAACTCATAATACCCATTTTACTTACACTAAAACTAATACGCTATGAAAAAAATATACATATAAGTAAGACTCAAATATACATAATCTTTGGAACTTTTCAACTAATAATCATTAAATAATAGATACTATAGATGTGACTTCCAAGTATTGGTTGGTTGCGACAGTTGTGTGCGGGATGAGGCATATAATACATATTTTTGAATCTATAAAAAAAATAAAAAAAAAGACTTACAAAAAAAAAATGAGCATAAATATAAAGCATTCAATCATGATATAATTAAACTTCTACAAAATAATGCGTGATAAAAAAAATATATATAAGATTCAAACTTCTTGGAGCTCTGGGCTTTCAACTCATAATACTCATTTTACTTATGCTAAAACTAATATGCTATAAAAAATATATATATATATACCGTAAGTAAGATTCAAACAATCTTCAGAATAGGAGATAGAAGAAAGTATTGGTTATGATGTATTCTGAGCTTATTAAGCAGAGTTTGTATTACATGATTTGTACTACCAGCTTGCAAGTCTTACAAGCCAAAATCGAGCCAACCCCAAATCCGGTCGAGCCTAATCGAGCCAGCTTGATTCAGAACACTGAGAGTCAATAAGACAAAGACAATATATTTTTATGTTAGAATATAATAATGTTAATATAAATAATATCAATATAAAATTTATGGAATATAGGTTTAGACCGCAGATAAGTTACTAGGTATACTTAGTTTCTAGGTCTTCTTAGCTATATGTCTGAGTTTTTATTTTTAGCACTAGGCTTAAAATATAAAACCTTTTTCAGTCATGTAAAAAATTTTCATTAAGTTTAATAAAGATAAGAGCAAGGTCTCACCTTAAATATTAAAAAAAATAAAAATAAAAATAAAAAAAAATTTATGGAATAAAAAATAGAAGCACTAGTAATACTCATCTACTCTTGTATAATCATAAAGGTCATTGACTATGTTCCTAATTGTAATATTACATTATCACATAGCTATCTTAAATATATTTAGAAACTAATTAATAATAATAGTTATTAAATTTTTGCATTTAAGAGCAGCCAAGATGAAATCAGGCTAGATATTTGAGTTTAATAGTTTAGCTCCCAAAAAATCTGAACTGCACATTAAACAACCCATATGCAATTTATTCCAAACTAACTCATACAGACTAGTGAAAAAGAAAGACACAAATCCAATAGTATATTAAGTTATATACTTTTCTACCTAATGCAAACATAAATGATCTAATCAACAAACTTGAATTTGCAACTAAATATGAAAATGTAACTCATAACATTAAATAGATAAATTATTTTAACAAAGGCAATGCCTTATTTAAAATCGATATAAAAAATGCCTACTTTATTATACCAGTCTACTCAGTCTACTAGTTATTACAAAGCTTCTATTATGAAGACAATAGCTACTTTGGCAAGGTACTCACTTTTAACAATTGAGCATCTAGCAGGATTTTTTGCTGTTTTACAGACACTATTACATAGATAGCCAAATCTCTGCAATAATCTACTGCGTAGACAACTTTTTTATAATAACACCAACCAAAAAATCATGGGAGCTACAGCAATTCATTTACATCCTCAAAACAATAAATGTATAATGCAAAACACAAAAATAGAGAAACCAAGTGCAACTATAACCTTTCTTAGAATTATGATAAACACTATAACTATGATGGTATCTATTACTACTCAAAAGTGTGAAAAACTTATAGTTTGACTAAAAGAATAGCAAAGTAAGAAATTTTACTTTCTCAAAGACCTGCAATCATTAATGGGATTACTGGTATAGATATGCCAAGTGATTTCACAAGAGCACCCCTTCATACAGCATTTGATCAAAGTACAAGGCTTATTAAAAAACCCTAAACACCATATTTGAATGATCTAACCTATAATAACTGACATCCAATAATAGATTGCTTTCATCCAAACCTGGCCGGGCATTCAATTACTTTAAGATTGCAACTGGCACCAGCACTTACACTAAATTTATTTACTGATACTTCTAATATAGGTTAGATGGTGGTGCAATATACCAAAATTACTTTACAGCCTTTAACTGAGCAAAAACAATCAATTTAACCAAAATAAACATTCAAATACATGAACTTCTAACTGCACTTATTACAATCTGTATATTTACCTCTATGTGAAAAAGAAAGAAACTGATAATATAAACTAACAACTCTTCTAATATCAAAGCATACTACTCTAGCTACTGCAAAAGCCCAGACATTAATGATATAATCGCCAATATATACATGGAACAAATTATTGAGAACTACTCCATAATGCTCGAGCATATTCCCAGTTCAAAAAACATAAATACAGACTTACTATCTTGCAACAGGCATTGAGAATTCATTGTACAAAACCTATTATTTCACTACTTCCTGTCTTTTGACTTTTCCAAAATAATTTTTTTAATTCCTTTTCTAAAACAATAGGTTCAACTACTAATAGACTCTATATCTTACTTTTCAGCAACTGAAATGAACAACATCACCACATTCAGCAACCATATATCACTAGACAAAAAAGTAGCATTATTTTCAAGGTCTTAGCCTCTATTAACAAGTCTACAAAGCAATCATCAGGTAATATGAAATACTAGCTACTAACAACAACTGGTACAATCACAACAGATCCATTTGGCCAATTTAAAAAATTCTCTGATAAAATATATTACATGTCTACACAAAAATATCTTCTCACCTACTATATTATCCTATTTCTTTGTATTAAAATATTATCACACAAGAAACTTGCATAATTAGAATAACACATGTACCCAACCACCTTATTTTCCAAATATTAAAAACAATCGATGCATTTCACATTCACAAACCAGTCAAACAAAAAACATATATTACCTGGCTCCACCTCTAAATATGCAAGCTAAGCTCAATATACAAGACCCAACAGATTTCTTTTTCTGGTCTATAGCACTTATCACCTTTTATGGCCTAGCCAGATTCAGAGTATTGTTGCTAAACACTCAATCTAATAGCCCCAAAGTCCTCATACTCCATGCATTAAGTTTTGACAAAAGTGAAGACCAAACATTTGCTATAATTCAGTTGGCAAAAACAAAGAATTACAAAACATCCAACTGGGTCTCCTTTATTATCTACCCAACCAATGACAACCTTTGTCCCATACATATCTTAAAGATATATTTCTTTTACGGATATATATATTATACACAGTGAATAATAACTTGCTATTTGTGAAACCTAACAGCATGTAGGCAACAAAAAATAGTTCATTAATAAGCTAAAAAACCTATTCCCTAATGAAAATGTGGCAGAATATAGCTTCTTTGCTGGAGATATTACTGAACTAGTTTTTTAAGGCACATAGTTAGTAATAATCTAAAAAATTAGCAAATGAGACTCAGAGTCCTTTTATTATTATATCTGAAACCACCCAGCCACAATCATATCTATCTTTAATAAAGCATATGCTAATTAACATATTAGAAGAAACTTTGGCCCAATTAGTATCACAAAAAAAACAAAGAAAAAGAAAACAACATACAGAACAGATAAATGTTAAGAGAGAAATATATATATACATATATACAAATAAAAAACACAGGAAGTATATGATCATTTAATGATCATATGCAACTACATGCTAAGATACTAATATTCAAAAAAAGGAAAAAAAAACGGATCAAATATAGTATAGCGGACACCATTGGCAAGATTTTTGAAAGCCACATTACGTGATCATGTGATGTGGCATTAGTGGCTTGAATTTTGCATAATTGCAAATGAGCCATAATAGCCACTTCGTGTAATCATATAACCAGTTCGAAAAGCTTGTAATTTAACCAAATTCAGAAAACACAAAATTGGAAGTTAAAATAGGCCGGAATTGATAATTAACGTCAACTCACATAATAATCTTAATGCTTCCAGTTTACAAGTTAAAGTATGCATCTATACGAACCAATATTTGAAGAATGACAGATTTTGTATTTATCTGCTTTAATCTGCACATGTTGATAAAATAAGATCATATTCGAATGCTAAATTATTGAAATTAATAAATGCCAGATAGTAATATATTATACATTTGTGGAATTAAGGAAATTAGTGAGTGGGTTAGATGTTATATTGTGGGTTGAAGTTTAGTTTGGAATCCAAAATATATTTAGCAAGTTTATAGACAAAATATAAAGGTAATACGCATGGAGGTAATTTAGTTTCAGGTATAATATAAAACCTTGCAATAAGACTTTAACAAAATTTTAAAATAACTACCAGTTTCATGTTAATTATAGATTTGGTCAATTTGAGTAGATTTTGTTAGAATTTTAACCTAGTCGCATAAGATATATAGTAATACATAGGTAATATTTTTTATATATATCATACTTTTCGGATCTAAAACAATGTCATCTAATGACTAAGAATTAAACTTCTCAGAGTTTGATATTCATAATGATTTCGTATTATTCTATTATATACTATTAGTTCGGCATATTTCAGCATTAATTTTTATATGAAACCGCTAAAGTATATCAATAGTTTTATCAAAAATCAATACAAAATATGCTATAATAATTTCTACAGTATGTAAACTTCATTCTTTTTAAAGAAATTTGATACTTCAATATGACTTCAACTTTTATCTTCAACTAAATAAATTTTGATTTTTTACTTAATATTTAATATACACAGGTTGATTAGCTATTGTATAATTATTATTTAATATATGAATCTTATAAATATATATTTAAATACATACATACCATATATTTTTTTTAAATAAAAATGTTGCTGCCACTTAAATCATTACAACCTATCCTTTCAAATGAAAAAAGTTATATCAATTATTTGATCAAAAAAGAAGCTCTTGATAGTCAATCAATATGTAATTCATGTAGTAGCTTAGCAAAAAGATATGAAAAAGTATTTAAATGTAGAAGAAAGAGATGCAGAACATTTGTTTCTATATTTAAAGATATATTTTTTTCAAAGTGCAAATTAAAAGTTAATGAGATTCTTCAAATTGGATATTATTGGTTAGCAAAAACTCTACATATCTCAATTAAAACCATTACAGGACACTCACCAAATACTATAACATATTATACTAATCGTTTTAGATATAAAAAAATGAATGAATTACCAGTTTTTACTTGGCAATATTCATATATTAATTTTTTAACAATTTCAAATCTAATAATAGAGCACTTGTTGGTCTTAATCTTCAAGAAACACAAAACAAAATCAGAGATCCAAAAATCATAGTTGAAATTGATGAAACTAAGATTGGGAAAAGAAAACATAATCATAGTTACTGTGTAAAAGGTTATAGTTTAAAAGATTTTACTTCATTTCTATATTTAAATATTAAATATATATATATCAGTCAGAGATTTTTCCATATTTGAACAGTGTTAATCACACCATTTATGGCATAGGATCACTGATCAAATTATTTTAGAATCTTCGGTACACAAAACGCATATCATCATTATCACTTTACTGCTTTAGCGTGTAACAGTAAGTATTTCAGTATTTCAGTATTTCACTATTAAATTAATTAATTCACAACCCTAAGAAATTTACTTATAAACGAATATATGTATTTGGTGCTACAGAAAAGGGGAAATCGACAAAACAAAAGATCTTCGGAAGATCAATTTTTATGTTACAAATTTTATAATAAATCATAAGAAAATACAAACTTTAAAGAGCTATACTGCAAAATTTTATTAATACAACTTCTTTCATGTTTTAAGTGAAAAATGATCCTAACATTATTCTAAATTGAGTTGTATAAAAAAAAAAATTTTGAAAATTTGTCGATTTCCCCCTTTTTTGTAGCACCAAGCCCATATGTATTTTTTTTATTATTTATTGTTAGCGCTAGTTATACTAACTATATGCAAGTTTTAAACGCCAAAAATGGTTGACGAAAAATAAGATTATGCTAAGTGTAAGATTTAAAGAACTTTACTGTTTAATATGCTATTATAGTAACAATAAACCTAACTAATACTTATACTTTATATATTCAGATTATTATAGAGTTAAACAAATAGACAATTAGATTATTAAGTATAGCTTTGTAAATCTGTAAATAAATTATTAGAAAATTAATCAGACATTAAAAAACTGTAGTGTAATATATTTTAAGATGAATAGATACGACGAATCATTAGCAGATTTAAATAAATTATTAGAAATTAATCCAAATAATGCAGATGTATTAGTAAGCCATAGAAAACTTATCGTAAGATAGAATCACTAGCGGATTTAATAGATCATTAGAGATTAATTCAAATAATACAGATGTATTAGAAAACCGTGAAGAAACCTATTGTATAATGAAAAGATATAGAAAATTGCTAGTGGATTTAAATAGATCATTAGAAATTAATCCAAATAATGCAAACGTATTAGAAAACTATAAAGAAACTTATCGTATAATAAACAGATATCAGCAGATTTTAAAAATTATTTCAAATAATAGAGACATATTAGCAAGCCATAGAGTAACTTATGATCAGATACGAGGAGTCACTAGTAAATTTAAATAAATCATTAGAAATTATTCTAAATAATGCAGAAGCATTAGCATATCGTGGATGAACTTATCTTATAATGAACAGATACAAAGAATTATATAATCGGTATATAATTTGTATTTACATCAGAGCGAAAATGTTGATTAGGTTGAAATAGTTAATGCCATATGCAGCCACATCCACATCCACTCTTTGACCGAATCATTCTGGATAAAGACCTTTTGATAGTTGTAGGTTTGATTTTAGTCTAGTTAAACTAAGTAATTAACTAATACGTCTGAGATTACGGTTCTAAATTACAGAAGTTTAAATTTTTTAAATATATAGGTTAATTATTTTTTTAATATATAAGTCAATTTAAATATTTATAAAATAAAAAAAAGTATAATAAAAAAAAAAAAAAATCTACCTATTAAGTCTTCGTAATCACCATTTTAGCATTTACTTAAAAGTACCACTCCCACTTATAAAGCTAACAATCTAAAAAACATAGACCCGGGTATAAGTAACCTCTTTACTTTACCTAAAAATTGCTTCTTTTATATGTTTTGGTCGCTTTTATTAAAAAAAAACCAGAATACTGTAAAAAAACGTAGAGATTCAACCAACTAGTAAGTATAAATTTAAAAGCTAGCGAAACTTGCCTTTTTTAAGGTTTCATTTACTTTTCTAAAAAAAAAGATTTTTATTGATTTTTTATTGATTATAGAACTTTGGGCTCTTTATTTTTCGAGTATATTATTATTAGTTGTATTTAGTATCATAAAAGGTCAGAAACTTTTAGCCAAAAAGTATGACTGTGAACCAATAAAAATCTAGAGATTATTCTAGAATCGATCTAGAATGAAATCTGTTACACAAAATCTGATTTCCAAATTTGGAGATATTCCCGACTGTATATTAATCTTTTCTCTTCTAGGTGTTTGGGTATTTGGTGGTGTAAAACGGACTACTAAAAGAAAAATGTTTGCCAAGGTTGTTAGCAATAGAACTGCTAAAATATTGCTTACTGCAATAGAGGAAAATATTAGCTCTAGATTTATAGTATACTCAGATATGTGGCACTCCTACTTTAGAATAAATTCTGAATTGGGATTTCAACATCATATGGTTAATCATAGTCTCTATTATGTTGACCCCAATATGGGTATTTATACTAATACTATAGAGGGGTTTTCTCAAGAAATTGTACTAAATTAGCAATCCCAGGTAGGGTTATATAATTACTGTGAGAATTACATAAAATCTATTTACAAAACTTATAAAAATTGTAATTTTGCAATATGTATAACTATAATTCTAGGCCATTTACATGATTATATTTGGAGAAGATAAAATGAAGGTAATAATCTTTGGGAAATTATGATAAATTGCTTAAAAGATACTATATTTCTTGAAGAAGAAGAAGAATAGGATGAAATTGAGAATATAGAAGAAATTATGGACAGAGAAGAAATAAATAAAAGAGAAGAAAAAGATGAAGAGGAAAAAAGAGAAGGTAGTGTTGAAGAAATAGAAAATAAAAATAATAATAATATAGAAATTATAGAAATTATGAGTGATGATAGTATAGAAATCATAGAAATTGAAAGCGATAATAATATATAAATTGATAAAACAAAATTCGTATCTGAAAATATTAATACAATAATTGAACATGCAGAGAAAAAATTTAAGCTTTATTATCGATTCAAATTCTAAGCACAGTATAATGAGGCACAATATCGCATATAAATAATGTTATATACTACTTGTTAAGTAGGCAATGGTTATTAATTATACTTTATCCTTTGATTACAATATACAATATGTAGTTAATATTAGTTTGTATTAGTATTATTATTATAATTACTGTAAATTATGTGTATTACATGCATTTGTTATTGATAACATTAAAATCTCGATTGATCTATGATGTTTAATGATGTTTAATGATATCTAAGATAAAACATGAAATAAATAACCATTACAAATTCAATTAAGAAACTTACTTGCTATTGCAGTGGCAACAGTATATAGTTAATCTTGTATTGTCAAAATTTTTTTTTTTTTTTCGGTGTTAAGGTAATCTCTATGGCCTGGGGACTTTTTATTAAGTAGATATATAACATATTATAGTTACAACAAGAGTATATATAGCCACACGTGCATCTTTTAAGTGTCTAATTTAAGTAGTCTGCCCGAAGGTTCTACACTATCTGCCGTACCTGTACCCCAACTAGGGGGGTACTCATTTAAACTCTCTGGTTATAACCGCTAGCTACATTCTACCTAACCAAGGTGTAACTCACTATTCGATGATAGCTTTTGTGACACCGATAGATTTTGCACCCTACCTTAGGACTTACTAACCATTTTTGGATTTATCAATCCCTTGTCTTAAGACTAACTAACCATACATGGC